CGTCACTCGCAAGATGGGCAATTTGGTTAAACCCAACCTCATAGTCACTGATCTGGGTGGCGGCAAGTATAAAATGAGATCGGAGAGCACGTTCAAGACCACCGAATGCTCCTTCAAACTGGGTGAGAAGTTCAAGGAGGTGACTCCGGATTCACGCGAGGTCACTTCATTGATCACAGTGGAGAATGGGGTGATGAAGCATGAGCAGGATGACAAAACCAAGGTCACCTACATTGAACGTGTGGTTGAAGGCAATGAGCTGAAAGCGGTAGGAGCAATTTGTGAGATGTTTGGAGCACAACTTCTATGCTTTCCTCTTGTTTAATCTGTAATGTGTTCTCATTTTAGACCGTGAAGGTGGATGAAGTGGTTTGCGTGCGAACCTACTCAAAGGTGGCGTAAGAGAGGTTCTCGTTCCCAAGTTGTTTCCCTCCTCTCCATCCACTCCCACATCTTTCTCCTCCTTTCCAGCTATACTCCTACCTTGATGTGAAGTATAAAAGCGCCTTTTTTCTTTGTCTATTTGGATGAAGTAGTGCTGATTTGGGAGGTGGTTGCGAACTTGCTGTAGTGATGTGCAGTTAGTGATGGGGGTGTAATATGCGTGAGTGTGAATGTGGTGGGTCGCCTAAATCCTCAGCCTAGTGTTGCACAGAGCTGTATATTTGTCGGTTCTACTGGCATCCACGCGAGTAGGAGCGACCATTGCCAGCATGGTCTGAAAATCACCTGGGTATGTGCTGAGGGTATTTTTTTAACCACATAGGGCTTAGTATCTCTAAATGCACGAAAGTAGTGTAGGTAGACATGCCCGAAGCCTTATTGAATTAGAGTGACGGACGGATGATTGGGCAGGTGGTTGAGTGAATTGATGGATCATTGTATGGATTAATGAATAGGTAAATGATAGGATTAGTGGGTCGATGGCTGGTTTGGATGCTGAATGGTTGGAGCTAAGCATGTGAATAATCACGCCTCCATCAGATTGGTTGAGGTTTAATTGAAAAGTTGCATGAAGAGGCAGGTGAAGTTGGCGGTTGATGCATGCGTAAGTGAATCGATGACTACCTGAATGGATTGTCAATGAATGTGGACAATCATCCGCAGCCTGAATTTGGTGATGAACGTCCCCCAACTTGATGAGGTTGTCTGTCTGGACAGGTGAAAGCATAACTTGATGCGAGGGGAAAAGAAGCGAGAAATAGGTGAGTTGACGGTTTGTTAGATGACAGCAGAACTTGTTTTGTCTCAGTTGATCTCAATCACCCCAGGATGCACGCCGCCTGCGCACATTTCTCAGTCTTGTTCTGTCCAAGCAAAGCCACTAATCATTCCTACCTTTCATACATTTTATTACATTTCTCTTATCTCGCATCAGGAACCGCCATTCATTCATTTGCCTTTGGCTTCTCACTACCCAAACTTCAACTACGCCAGCGATAATGCCATCCACTTGCGGAGAGCATACAGAGAATCTCCCCCATATTCTTTTATATCTCTTTCACCTTTGCAACTGTTCTATCCCCAACGAGGAGGTTACGTTGGCAGCCGTCGCAGCGATGCTCAACCTGGCAGTCGCTGTACACAGCGAAGACACTATTTCGTCACAAATCTAGTGGCAGTGGTGGGTGTTGAAGTTCATCAGCAAGCTTCTCATTAGCATTCTGCACCACATGTCACAGGCAAAGCCTGGCGGTCTGATGAGTAGCTTTGCAAAGAGTAGTTCCACATTAGTTTCGGCAATTCTAGTGGATGCTTTTAACTGAGACATTTGGGAGCCCTATATTATGAACTCTTTGGAAGGCAGCTCTCGTACTACTCACAAACACTTTCGCCACCACAGACACATTTTTTTACTCCAATTTTATTATTCAAGTCTGGTGCAACAAGCATATGACGGTTATCCTTTTCGCCTTCCATTCTTTGTTTGCGATGCCTAGTTGCATTACTTCCTGCCGCGAAGAGATGGATTGAGTTTAAGGTAGAGAGATGTGGAATGGTCTTGGTAGCAGGATACGTACTTCTCCTTTTTGAAATATCCTAATGAAGGCTGCAGGTTGAAGCTTGTCAAGTTCTCCTAATTTGTCTGTTTAATCAACTTGTTCAATTGTATGCAGCATTCACCTGTCCGCTCGTGTCGCAGCCCTTCTGGCCACCCTCTGCAAGGCACTACCGCCCGACTTTGTGTTGCGCACTGCTTACATCCAACGTCCTATTTGCAGCTCGCTTTCAGTCATACTGTTATGTACCATTGTCTACCACTCTAGTCCGTGCGGCTTCTTTTGCGTCGACTTGTCACGTAGGTTTTCCATTTTGCATGACATTTTGACATTCCAATTCAAGCAGTCGATTTGCCTAATGCTGATCGACTCAGCAGTTCTGGAGAGGTTGTTAAATTTAATGACAAAATTCAAGTCAATTTAACGTGGAGGTCCTTAGATGCAGTAAGTACGGACCAGAGGGGTTACATTCTGCTTGGAACTTTGAATCTTGATCGTGAGTGCGCTAAATGGGAGAGGTGAGATGCGGTGTTGTCAAGTTGATGGAGGCAGAATGGATGACTGATGGATTGATGAGTGGAGCATGATGCTAATGGGAGGTAGCAAGGTGATAGGTTTGTGGATTGTGTGATTGCCTTTTCCTGCACTCTGTCATGTCACGTTGTATAGCGGCAGTTAACTAATCGAGTGCTGTGACGTGATGTGTTCAGTGGTGTTTACTTACTCCTGACGATTTATTGTATCAAGTCTGGAGTGCGACTGCTGTGATGGAAAGCTTCTGCAGAGAATTCTGACGCACAAAGCCCCCTTGTTGCCATTTCGGACATTATATCAGATGAGTCAACTGCATTGCTGTGGGGACTAACTGAATAGGTGGAGGCATGCACGGTTCGCTGAAACAGACCTGTGCCTCTTCTTAATAGCTTTTTGGTACAAATGATGGCACTGACATGCAATGGTAAGTGGCGGACTCCAGAAGATACACCGAAAAGCAGTCACTCAACCGATATGGATGAATTGATGAGATGAGAGGTTTGACTTTGTCCCCCATCTCTGTTTCCTTCGACTTTATTTGAAGCAGCTAACCGCTCTCATGAACTGAGCAACCACACTGGAAGCGTAGGATTTTGATGGTTGGATGAGTTGGAACATAGAAGCTCGTACTGTGGGGAGGGATTTTTTTCATGAAGATAGGAATTGTGAGCTAAAAACCACATCTGTAAAGTGGATAATGTGGAGGGACTGGAGATAGCTGCACACTCTCATCCATTCATTCCACGTGTCGCACGATCCACTGGCAGGAAGACTAGACTATACTATCATTTTATCTAACTTGTAGCTCCATCCTATGAGGCGAAAATTTGGATGGCCTCCTGTCGGAAGAGAATTAGTTGCCTCCACTGCCTTCGTCTACGAAGACAATTACTTGCTACTAAGCAGTTGGGACTGCTAATTCCTTTTGCATACCTTAAGTTCTTGTCAAACACCTAAACTACCCCACATAATCGGTTCTGCCTGCAAGACGAAGGGATTTCGAATCCCATAGGTGGTGAGTTAGCCTCACAGCATAGCTCGTTAAGCAGCACCACATCTCCTGGTGATAGAATAATCTCATGGCTACAGATGAGTGTGGGACTTTTGTGTCACAGAAGGTGTTTGACGAGGTGTTGATCTAAGAGTGTGTTTCGTTATAGGTGGACATCGGCTACCAAATATCGTCATCTTTTGTCTTTTGTCCCTCTTTTACACATGCATGGCCTGGTCCACCACAGGTTGCTGTAGTGTCTCCTGTTTTCCCTGAATTTGCAATAAGTCGAAGGGATGAGGGAAGAAGATTTGCAGTTAGTGTACAGAAGAGACAGTGTCTGTAGTCATGGATAGGACGGTACAGATACAATTAGGGCAGGGGCTAGTGTAACACATATGTCACATTTTCGTTGCTTTAAATTAATCACAGGGTTCTCTTCCTCCTTTTCTTCCATGGTGTAGCCAAGCAGGTTACAACGACGTGATCGCATTCTGAGAGGAAATGTTGTCCCGATGCTGGACACACATGAGGAGGAAATGATTTTGTGCTTCCACTACGAAGACACATTCAAACATACACAAGTACCCACTCACAACATTTAATGCCCAATCAAATACCCTCCCTTTTTCTTGTACAATTTTCGCCCTACTTGGACAGCCGTCTTCCTTCCGGAGTAGCAGCTCATTCAACAAACTCCAAGAACATCCAACTAGTCAGAGAGAATTAAGTGGGCTGTGTGCCCACACCCAGCCAATTAATACTTCTCCACTTCCTCTTTCCTCTTCTATGTTTTAATGGAAAGGTTAAACAGTTGGGGGAACTGTAGAGAGTTCCTTGTCATCAAAGGCATTTTTTGAAATGATTGCTCATTTGACCTCGTCTCTCTCTCTCTCCCACCAATCTCTCACCAATCCCTCCTTCCTCACCTGTCCCCTTTTACACTACAGCTGAAGCTTGTATCGTCTGCCACCGACACCGCCGATCATTTCACTGACTGCCTTCTAATTTCTACTCTCAACTCTTCCACAGCATCAACAACGCTCTAAACTTCAGCTTCAACAACGCCAGCATTGATGTCTTGTAACCATCTTCGTTGTCACTGTTTATTCTCACTTTGCACATTCCAGTATTCTTGTGTAAGCCTTCCTTTGCGTAATTCTGCATGTAGGCATGCATGTAGGTCGGTTGTGGTGGACTGAATCACTTTCTCTGTGGTGAATGGTTGAGAGGAAAGGAGGGCGAAGGGAGGGTATGGGTAGGGTTTTCAGAGCCATTTAAGTCTTTGTATTAATTTGGAAAGGGAATCAGTTGAGGCATTGGCAACAACTTTAATAGAAATATCTCATTGCTGTAGCGATACTACTCACTGATAGCAATTCTCTTTTGCCGCCGACAGGCTCAAGAACTTCGTGTGTATCTCTAAAAACTGCAAATGCGGTGGATTCCTCGATTGTTTTCGAAGCGGAAGTTGGCAATGTTAGAAAAGGATTGCGCTTGATACGGCTGAATGCCAGAATGCAGCACGTTCAGTGGGGACATTTGAGATTTACGAGTAATTTGTGTCCAGCAGAGTTGTTTAATGCACTGTCTCAAAGGAGCAGTAAACAACATTTTTATTGCTGAAATCAAATAAGTACTCGCATCGACATCACTGCTGATGGGAGTTAAATGCACAGTTAGGATATTCGCAATTGCAAATGTGAATGAATGAAAGAATGCGGAATGAGTAAATGAATGAATGACTGAAATTTAGAAAGTAGAATAGAATGTTCCAAGCATTGTTTAGTTGAGTGGTTAATTGAAGTGACGGGCTTTCGTGCTTTGCGCCTCGTTTTAGCCGTTTGTGAAGTTGTGGTTGCAAGGAATTAACCGCATTGCGGCCACTGAAACACGACACAACACAACACAACACATCACAGCCACTGCTTCGAGCAGTACCAATTCACCACCTACCTTGAAATTAATGGAAATTGTTTTCGTTTTCTGTTCAGAATGCATAGCTGGCTGAATGATGTCTGATTTTGTAAGAAGTCCCTGACTTATGAGCAGCTTTGGTCATCACTCGTTTCCAACTCAACTAGACGAATAATCGTGAAAAGGAATTTGAGGCATTCACGTGACTTGAGAGAGCGACTAACTTCCACCACTTTCCACTTGTTGTGGTTGTTGCATTTTAATTATTTACTCACCGATTGAGTGACTTTCATACGAGTACAACACTAGAAATCCCCTAAACCAACAGCTTACCACTCCTTACCACTTGGTGGATTACACTTTGTTGGTGCTTTGGTATGTAATTAACAAAGATGGGATGGGAACAAGGGTGACAAGATCTCCACTTCTAATGCACTCATACAACCAAAACGCGATAAGGCACTAGTTCCA